GCAATAACTATTATTTATAATCTTCAGTTGCCAGTTATTATATTATATATTATAAAATAAAAACTCATTTATTTATTTTTTCATAAATTTACGATGAAAATCACTTCCAAGTGTATCATTGATAAATCGGTCTTTAGGGTTATCCTCAACTGATTTCCTAGAAATAACATCATCATCCCACCTAAACAACGACAACAACAACGACAGCAAGTATTATTGGTAATTATATCATATTATGTTTTTCTGTGTGTGTGTGTGTCTCTTAAAATTAAATTTTACCACATTAAAATCTTTACTAATGAATAAACAAATATTGATCAATTAATCACTCTACTATATATATGATCACTTTTTTAAAGAAGAAATCCTCACACCTTTCATCACTATCTTTCTATCACTGTCATCATCGTCTGCATCTATTAATTGTGTAGTCGAGTCTAATAAAAATTTTCTTCGTTTTTATTGATTGATCGTCGTCATTACTATGTTTTTTTCTGAATGTTGTTTATTTTCAAAATGACCTTTCTCTGCTTTTAAAAAGTTCTTCTTTAAAGATCTATACTTTCAAGTACATCTTGTGTAGGTTGTCCTGTTTGTCTATATATATATATATATTAAAATCCACATTGAAAAACAATAATTTGAAAATGAAGGCAATTTTGATATTAAGGATACCGGCTGCAACTTTTGATGATGGTTGCTACCATCTTTACGTCATATAAAAATGATTGCAACCGTCTTTACGACCATTTTGTTTCCTTTTTTGGATTGCGACATGGGACACTATTTTATATTTAAGTTGATATGAGCAGAAAGATCCCTAGAACTATATTGAAAAGTTGGTGCCTTATTATCGTTTCCTCTAGCATGATCAAAAGTTGGCCTAGCAAGCTGTTGTCATTTTTTCTCGAATTAAAGTTTATCTGTCATTCTGTTATGTCACATGTACGTATATTATATATCATATGATTAATAAATTACAATTGCTTCTAAAACAGGATGATGGATTAGACAATTAATTCTAGAACAACAAATAACAATGGTGATAGAAGGGATGAAAAATATGAATAGTGAAAGTTTTATAAAGAAGTAGCGTTATAGTAATAATTTATAACGACAACCATTATTAATATATTATTATTACTATTAAGTTGAGTCCAAGGAAAAAAAGTGTTTATCAAATGTCTAAAGTCATAAATTAATACCACATTGTAATTTTAGAACGACAACCATTAGAACAATAAAGATTAAACTTTATGATATAATTTTGGGATTCCTTGTATGTCGTTGATATTGGTCCATAATCAACATCACCAACATCACCATCATCATCTACTAAAAAGATAAACAATTATTGTTGCTGTTGGAAGATGTACATCATGAATTAAAATTAATTAAAATGGAAAATCATTCATCAACCAACTAAAAATTATCAAAGTCAATTTGCAGGATTTCTGATTATTTTAATAATAATAATAATAACAATGACAATACATCTTTTCGTAAAAAAATATTGAATCAATAGTGGAAGAAGTAACAGATGAAGAATTCAATAATGAGTGATACAGCCAACCAACTAAATCAGTAGTTATATAAAAACCATTGAACAAGATTGAAATGAGTCTCTTGGGAAATGGAAATGCATAATCCTCTTTATCGGGAAGGAATTCTCGGTGGTAAATTTCCATTGATTTTAGACATGCGTTCAGACTTGCTACTGAAACAATAGGGAGGAGACTCCACATCATTGTCATTAATTAGTAAATGAAAAGAAACAATTAATTTTCAATGAAAACGTGTCATCATCATCTTTGGTGAAAAGAAAGGAATCATTAGTCTATGAAAATTCATTATTATTATCATAATCATAAGATGAATCAAATTCAACCACTCATGGTAGTCACTAATACAAAATCTTGTAGTTATTATAATAATATAAATAAATACATCTATATAAATATGTAAAAATATAATATATATGTATATGTCTCTAAACCCCTCTCATTAAACGTTCAGTAACTCTTTCTCTGGCTGTATGATATGCTTGAATAATTGTTTGTTCTGTTATTGGAATATCCGATGATTCAGTACGAGGTCTAGAAACGCGAGAAACAATAACATTCGATTCTGTCTCTAATACAATACTATAATATTATAAATGATATGTTATTAAATTGTATTTAAGGATTAGATTGAGAATTGATTAAATTAAATTCTCTCTCTCTAATTACCCATCATCAATAGTTTCGTCCAAGGCGAGAACAACCAAATCTAAATTATCAATAATTGTTCTTTTTTCTACTTGATGTCTACCACAAATAATTATAATAATAATAACAATAGTAATTATCGTTGTCATTATTGTTGTTGTCAATGATAATTGATTAATTAATTAATTAATTGTAATTTTACCTTAATAAATTGGAAATTGAATCGTAGAATGCATTTAAAATACTATTCAAAATGAGTTCATTTTCATCAGCTGATCCAACAACATAGAAAAACACATCAATGTTATTACGATAAAGAACTACATGATTGTCATATAAAATAATTTCCCCTATAAAAAAATTTCAATTTTTAATTTGTAAGTTATGATTTTTTTTTTTTTTTATGATAAAAAATCATTATGAAATTATAAATTATTTACCGTTTGATCTTTTAGTTTTATCAAATAATCCCTTCTCAAATACCTTTTGTTCTTTATTTGTAGGATATGCATTCTTACTACCATAATATTTTGCTAGAATCCTATTGCCGTCTCCATCAAGAAGTACCACTGCTGTAGTTGTATAAAGTGATAAATTAACCTTTAGATAAATAAAGAAATATCAAGTTGATTAATAACTAATAACTATAATTCAAACAACTTTTAAAATACAATTAACACAATTACAAACCATTTTTTTTTTTTAAAGAATTAATTTGGTTTTAAGGAATGATCTCCGTAAATAAGATCGGCCAAGATCACGCACGTTATAGAGGATTTTTAACTGGCTAATAAGAAATTACAACCAACTCTCGATACTTAAATTCTGAAGATTTCGCATATAAAATCACATGCTTCTATATTTTCTAGAACTTTTATCAATTACAAATAAAAGAAATGCGATTATTTTTGATAAAAAAGTATATGAAACCTTGGATCAGACAGCCATTATCCTGCTTATGTTCAATAGTACTCATTCTTTAAGGCATTTTGAAATTATGTTCAACGATATGAAAGGGAGTATTCACTTTCTGATGTAGCATTGTCAAGCCAGTAATGTAAATAAAACATGAAACATTTTGAAGTTGGGCGCTGACATATATTAGCTAATATTTTAGGGGTGGGGGATAATAATACATAATATAAAATAAAAGACATATCAATACAAATTAAAATAAAGTTACCTCTGGTTAGTTATTAACATGTTTCTCTTTAGAACCAATCATGCCAAACAACATCACTCGCGTTTTGTCATCTGTCAAAAAAATAAATAAAAAACAGGGGTCCATACATAAATAATTAGTACGCGCTGTCGATCAATGAATTCTTTATTTCTATTTTCTTTTTTTCTTTTTACAAAAAAAAAATGCCCAAAGCAAATCAAATCAAAAAAAGTAACCTATCACCACCATTCTTACGATAAACACTTACGCATTTATTGCACCAGATTTGCTTTGTGGTTATCGCCACCACTCTAGTTTTTTTGAAAAATTGGCATCATGCACTATAGTTACAGTGTGTTAAGAAAAAAATGGCGGTGACAAAAAATTGCATATCTCAACAATTACATATCATAATTAAATAAATTTAGATTCGTTTGAAAGTATATCAAATTACCTTGTTAAATAAAAAAAATAGACATGATATGCTATTGCCAATTTTCTGTAAAGCTAATTCATATCTTTTTTTTAAAACTTTGCAAAATTTTTGTCTCTGAAATTTTAACACATAAATTTTTAATAATAAGCCTGACACAAAAATATACATAATAATCATACAAAAAATTATACCGGTGTGTAATGAAAGTTCTGGAGATTATATATATAAACTTTCATACTTCCAGATTTTCTAGAATTTTGTCAATTGGAAATAAAAGGAATTTGATTATTTTGAAAAAAACAATTTAATGTGTAAATTTCTTCAATAATTGCTCTAAAGCCTACATATTAACATGCTTCAAAAATTTCATATGTTATAATCTAAGATCCTCCGATTCTCTGTTGTAATTTTTATCATATAATTTTGGCTACTTTTTTATTAAAAACAATATTTTTATCAACCGCCGTTTTTTTCTTAACACCCTGTAATTATAAACTTAGTGTAAATGAAAAAAACAATAATAAAGAAAACAATAATGTGAGAATTCATTTCAATAAATTATTATTTAATGTTCAATATTAGGTTCTTTAAAACAATTGTTACCTGTAAATATTCTAGGATGTCATATCTCTTAATGGACTTTCTCGAATTGAAGCTTTCCACGAAGTAACTAATCAACTAGTAAAGCAGAAGCTAACCCTACAAAATGGCGATTTAGAGAGCAATCATACAAAACATAAGCAAGTATCTAGAGGGTACGTGTTGACTCTTATGTAGTGATAATGTAATAGTAATATAACATTATTCTGTTGATTCTGCTCTTTGTTTTCTATTATTAATTCATATTTATTTTTCAAGTATTAATGGCGACCATAAATTGGTGGATTTTGACAAAACAGATAATTATAAATGCTCTAACCAGTAAGTTGTGAAAAAAATTATGTTGTTTTTTTGAATGAATCAATTTATATGCTTGGAAATTAGATTAAAACTTTTATTAGACATGCAGAATGGGTAACTCCACTACCAACATTACAACAGAAAGGAAGTGATGTAAGTAAATTATTTTCAACAACATGCAATAATGAATTTATTTTCATTTCAAACTTTTTTTCTAAACATAGATCGAAGTTTCTTTTGAAGAATTAAAATATAATGATAACCAAATTAATCACAAACTCTGAAGATGATAATGGTATATATATCAAATGAAACTAAATTTTGGGAATTGGAATCAGAAGTTCCTAGTTGGTTAAAAAAAATTATGAGTTATCATGAAAAATTATATTCAGAGAAAGATGAAGAGCAAAGGATCAAATTGTCAACAAAGCAAGCGCTTAAGATATGATTGATTGTTTGTTTATTTTTTTTCATTAAATCCCAATTAATTATTTTTTAAAAACAAGATTTATTTGGTGAGGATAGTGGATAGTACACACACAAGCTTTGTCCCTGATGTACTCACATCAAAAGAATTTCTCAACTTAAAAGATCATCATGTTTCTAATGCACTCAACCTTAAACATTCAGAATATAATTGGACTATATTGGAGTCATCAGTTGAGAATTGCTTGAAGTCTTTGGGAAAAGTGAGTAATTCAGTTGTTACAATACCACAAAGCTTTCTAATATTTAAATCAGATATTTTTAGTTAAATAATAGTGAGTTAAAACAAATCGGAGAATCAATCAAACCTAAAGGCATATATGCTGGTGTGGAAGAATTAAAAAAGATATCAAATGAGAACAAATCCCATGATAAATATTCAGAATTATTTGATGATGATGCCAATAAAAATAATACAGTCAGGGATATTTCCATATCGGGATTCGATTCCAGAATAGTCTGCTGTAGAGGCCTGCATCGGGTTGGGCGGGTTTGGTCTTGATGTCAAATAACTGCGGGTTGTAACTTACAACAATTAATGACCCGAACTTGACCCGAATTTAAATAATTTCTTGGCAAAAAAAAAAAAATCTTTAATATATATATATTAATAAATATAATTTTTTTTTTATAAATTTTTAATATAAATTTTTAATGATAATAAGTTTTTTTTAATGATAATAAATTTATGATAATAAGTTTTTATATTTTCAAATTAAATATACATTTCACACTTTTTCAAATCAATGTCAAATACATTATCCACAAGCCAAATATCATCAAAAATACTGGCTGGAGAATTATTATGTAAAAATAAAATTGGCAGAAAAAGTGATGTTTGGTTATGTTATTTGTAAGAATTGTCAGCATTTATTTAAATATAATTCAAAAGAAGGGACTTCTAATTTAATACGTCATGTTTGTAGTAGCTCAACAAGTAAACAAAGAAATATCACATCTTTTTTAACAAAGAAAGTAATTCCTACAAAAGTCAAAGAAGATATAGTTGGCTCGGTCTAAAGACTTCCTAAATTTTGGGCAAATTTTAAAAGTATAGAAGTCATTTTCTGTCCTACCTTTTAAAAAAATAGCCTCATTAGTTGGTAAAATAGGTTTCTACTTTTAATGTAATGAAGAGATTTTCTCCAAAAAATTATTTATTGTAGAGTTCTATTCTTTTTTAAAACATGTACTTTACCATGCTCATGAGAAATTTGAGCACTAGGATATTTGCTAAATTTAGACTAGTTTTGATTATCATACCAAATTTAGCCTAATACTCGACCATCATATCTAAATTTAGCAGTAAGAAAAATAGTTTTTTAACCAAAATCACGGGTAATCCTTTTTTAAAAAATTTTATTGCATTTTTGAACGAATCACGAAATTGCAATTTTTGAAATGAGCATGTGACGCAGCATTAGGAGGTCTTTAGACCAAGCCAACAATACAACAAAAAAAATAGTTAATTTTGTTTGTAAAGATTTACATCCATTTGAAACGATTGTGGGTTTAGGGTTTCAAGAATTGGCACAAGAATTTATTAAGATTGGATCAATTTATGGAAATGTATCCATTGAAGAATTACTTCCACATCCAACCACAATTTCCAGAAACACATTAAAGGAGGCAGAGTTAGTTAAATCAGCTTTGGCAGAAAGTTTATTGGAATTTTTTCGAATTTCTGGTGGAGCTTTTACCACAGATTGTTGGACAGATAATTATAGGAAAATTAGTTATATTTCTTTGACAGTGCACTTCATTGATAATTGGGATTTAAAAGTATATGTACTTGCTGTATCTAAATTTCCAGAAATTAGCCATACATCAGATATTATACAAAGAACTATTTTTTCATTATTAAGAGGGTATAATCTTCAACCTGAAAGCAATATAAAAAGATATGCTTTTGTAACAGATTCTGGTGCAAACTTTGTGGCAGCTTTTCGAAATTATGGGCATTTATCATGTATAGCTCACAGGTATCTATTAATAAAAAACGGGTTGAGTTCGGGTTTGGATTGAAATTTTTTGTATACAAGTCAGGTTCGGGTTGAGATTTTTATAATTTTTTGTGTACAAGTCAGGTTCGGGTTGAGATTTTTATAATTTTTTTGTGTACAAGTCGGGTTCGGGTTGGGTATTTATTCAATTATGATGACCCGTTGGGGTGTGCGACATTCTAAGAAAATCAAAACTAATTAATGTCATATAGCATAATAGAAATTCGATTATATCAGAAATGTGATGATCATTTGTGATATATGCAAATTTATATTGTGCTACAATTAATTTCAATTATTTTAAAGTACTTGAGTTACGTTAAAATGCACAAAAGTAGTTAATAGGTAACATGACTTTTTAAGCAATATTGCAAAAAAAAATTATATGATTATTATCTTTAATATATACTCTTTCATTTAAAAAAATAAGATGCAATTAGATGCAATTCAATGAATAGGTTACATATGAAGTAAAATTTACATTTTTTTAACAAAGTGCTTCGTATACAAAGGTAAAAAAAATTTTATTATTATTATATAAAATAAATAATTGAGTAAAACATAATAATACATGTTGGATAGAATGATAAGTTAAATAATAATATGAATCAGATATAAATGAAATAAACAATAATATAATTTACTATTTATATAATAATATATTTTACCATTCATTTACTAATTCAATTTTTCTATTTAAATCAATGTCCAAATTTATTTCAGGCATGACTATATCTTCTTCTTGATCTTCTTCATAACTCTCTTCTTCAATGTCTTCACTTGTTAAAATGTCACCACCTTCATTTAATCTTTCAAGGAATGAGTCAACATTTTTGAATATCCCTTTTTTGTAATATTCTTCACAATGTTTACACACATTTTTCCAACTTTGATAACATTCATAATGATATCCGTGACCACATATCAATACATTTACATTTAGGTTTCCTAAAACTTGTTTACATTTATCACACAAATTAGGCTTTGGAGGAAAAGATGTATGATAGCCTGTTGGAAAGAATCTTATATCAACAGTTTTATTTAGAGCTTCCAATTTGTAAGTTTTAAAATTTTTTTTTGGTTGTCTATCTTTATCTTTATTTTTTTCAAGGTTTAAATAAATCAAGTGGAAATGATCTAATAAAAATATACTGGTTCTATTTGTTAATTCATCCAGGACTGGCTCAGTATATGGATACTTACGATAATTTTTAAATGAGTTGATTGTTGTTTGATCACAAAGATCAAGAACATAAGCTTCATTAATTATAGCTTCTGCTGAATCTAAGGAGGTTGTGTTGGCTCTTATCTGGCTATGTATGTTTTCAACATAATAATCATTAAAATTTACAAGGTATTTTTCAATTGATTCACTAAATGGATGAGAATTCTCTTTCCAATAAAAATAGTCCGATAAGAAGGCTAAAGGTGCTTTATTATAATTTTTTCTTTTCCATCTTAAAGCAAAGGTCCAAATTCGAAAGAGTGTTTCTAAATATTCATTAAATGAACCTGACCTGAACAGAACAGCATAAACATCCAATGTGGAAGGAATAATATTATCTAACAGGTCTATCATCATCCTGTATTCTATATCCTTACAGTTGTTAGGGAATTTATTTAATATTACATGTGATATTTTTTTCCATCCTCTATTTAAAAGATCTAACAAAAAGTTTATTCTCCAAGGTTGAGGCTTTTCAGCCAAAATTTTTTTTGGTCCAAAAAGAGAATGGTACATCTTATTGAAAAGCTCCCAGTAAACTAAAATTACTTGCTCTCTTGAATTTAACGAAACATGTAAAGGACCAATTAAGGGTATAAAATTTCTAATAATAATATTATTAGAATTTTGATTTCTGATATTGGTTATGGCTTTTCTAATAAATAATTGTCCAGGCCAATCAGCTGAAACAGGTATGACATTATTTATTAAATATCTAGAAATACTTTCTATTCTACTTATTGATAACAGAACATCCACATAGTCATCTAATGAATGTAGATTTTTCTGTTGGAATTGAACTATTCTTGTTTCACTCATGGATCTGTCTTGTTTCCTTTCAGCAATTAAAGGATTATAAAAATGAATAGAAAGTAATTCAGTTCTATTGGACTCTAATGATTGTTGTAAGTTTGAAGAGGTCCACCTTATTTTTCTATCATTATAACTTTGATCAAATACTCCTTTGAAATTATTCATTAATTGGAAATTTATTCTATAAGCTTCAATATTGTTGGAATTGAATATGGATATTCCATTATAAATTTCAGGAATTGGGCCACATTCAATTTTTTTTGACACAACAGTTGCCATATGGTTGACAGTGGAGAGTGAAGTAGAATTAGGCTGTCTCCAGCCATGTATAGAGTGGTAATCATCAACATTAAAACAAAACAAATTATTCATCTAAAATTTTTACATACATGATAAGTATTTTAGAAATTAAATATAATTATTAATTGGGTTGTTTATTACTTACATTTTCATGAAAATATTCATTAATTTTTTTTGGATGATCACTTGCTAATTGTTTTTTATAATTCTCAATAGTTTTGTAGCTGGTTGTAATCCCAATTCTAGACAAAGTGTCTATTGCAGTACAACTTGTTCCTGCAGCAACAAGATATAAACCAATATCAAGTTTTACAGAATTTATGAATTTATTACGTAGACCTGCCAGCAAATAACAAAATGCTACAATTGATCTTTTAGCATCATCTTTATTTTTTTCTTTTCTTCCACTTGGAATAATTGCTTCAACCATTTCATTAAAAAAACCTTCTAATCTTTCATCCTGTTGTGTTATCATATCAGAAAATTCCTCAGGATCCAATTTGATATTATTTTTTAATTTTCTTTGCTGATTGTAAAGGATCTTGCTTAAAATTTCAAATTTTGATACAAAGGTAGGATCATTTTCTATTTAATAAATAAATTATTAAATTATTATTTAAATTAATCAACATTTAAAAAAAAATAAATAGATAAATTACCACTATTGATTTCACTATCAAAACTAGAATCTTCATTTTCCTCCACGTAATAGAGTTGATTTTCAAGCTGGAATTTCATTTGTTCTATATTTTTGACTAATAATGAAAAATCTTCCCTTGACATAATAACATTTTCATTGGTATAATTAACTTTAATATCTGGCCACTCCAATTCATTAGTAGACATATTAATTAATTGGCTAGATGAAGATCCACTATATGAATCATCAGTTCTTTGAAAATTTGATTCACTAGAATTTTTGTTTCTGTTATTTCTATCAGGCTCAACTATATCCAGGTAATGTTTAGAGCATAATTGGTCACCCTCTTTTATAAAGTTATATTTATTTTCTAAATCTTTAAATCTTATTTTCTCAATAGTATAACAAGTCATTTTGTAAAATCTATTAGTTCCTTCACAACTGGTTATTGTACATGGTCCTATATTCTTTGCTCTTGGCATAGTTATAATATTAATTTAACAAATTTTAGATGTTACGCGATCCCGATTGTTATTTTAAAATAAATAATTGGATTGGTTATTTTTTTAAATGATTTATTTGATGAAATTTAATTAATTTATTTGAACTTGAAATTTCTACAGGATTTATATATTTGAGTTTTTTATTTATTAAATATAAAAAAATTTACATCAAATAAGTCTTTTATACATTATGTATGTGAAAAAAAAAGAAAACTTATTTAACAAAGAGTTTGACATGCAAAAAGAATCAAATTTTAATTTTAACAAACAATCTTTGTAAAAAAAAAAGGAATTAGATTCTGATTTATTATTATACAAAAATGGCAATATTTTATTGTATGCTTGCTTGGAACCAAGAACGAAAAATGGCCTTTGTACTAATCGCAAGTTTCATAAAATTATGTAACACGAAAATCATATACTGAAATGGAAATGTGATAATTGCAAATGTCGATCAAAATAGAATTTCTACTATGCTATAATTATAACGAATGAATTTATAGTGAAGATTAAATTGGTCATTTATCAATTTACTCTTTTACTATTAATTAATTAAAAAATATTGTAGTAATCAAAAATAATTTCCAATTAATTAGTAATGAAATTTTATTCACCTTTATTAATATTTTAAAGAAAATAATTACAATCAAGATTATTTAATGAACTATCGCTATTTTTTAAGCTTTTATATTTGGCAATTTCTTCATCTAAGATTCTACTTGTATGATATGCATCTGGATGCGATTTGTGTACTTGTTGCAAATTACTAGCATCATTACCACTGTTGTTGTTGCTGCTGCTGCTGCTGCTGCTGCTACGATCATTATTAAAAACAATTTCAAGTTTTAAACAATTATTATCAAAAATTTCCTTCAACTTTTTTTCAGCGAAATCAAAAAGCTTTTTACTAGTTGGTCTTTTTGACGGATCCGCATCCCAACACCTCTGCATCGTTTGCACATAATCATCAGGCATTCCAGGTAATATTTGTGGTCGTAAACCTTCACATATATCAAAAATTAAACGATGATTGTGAGCCCTATTGTCAAATGGTGGATGACCTGCGAATATTTCCCACATTAAAATCCCAACACTATAAATATCTGTTCCTTTTGTATACATTGTATTAATTTTTCCTCTAAGCAGCTCAGGTGCAAGATATGATATAATTCCATAGATTTTATTTGATGATTTTTCATTAACTGGCCCACATAATCCTAAATCTGTAATATAACAATTACCTCCACTTATTAATAGATTACCACTATGTAAATCACAATGGATTAAATCTTTCTCATGTATATTATTTATTGCCTCACATAAATAATAAAAGATTGTGATTCTGTCTTTTAATGTTAAATTAAAATGGTTTTTTTGCAAATGACAATTCAAACTTCCATCTGATAAATAAGATAAAATTATTGCATAATTTCCATTATCTGGGAATTTAGTTATACCATAACAAGTAACAATCAATTGTGACTTAATTTTACAGTAATTTATTGCCTGAAATTGAATATAAAATCATTTAGTATTATATGATACAGTAGTATTGTTCACTTTTGTTTTAAATGGCAATTACCAACCTCATCAAAAAAGGCTTTTCCTAGATTACTTGAATTGTTTAAACTTTTTAATACTATCATTTGCTTTCCTAAATAACCAAATTCCTTTTTATTTTCATCATAATCAATTATTCTTCCTCTTGTCCATGTAGCAGTATAAACTGAACTAAATCCACCTTCAGTTAACTTTGTTATATCATCAAATTGCTCAAATGGTATCCATTCTAAAATAAACCTTGGCAAAGATGATTTTACTTGACATTGTTGAATAAAATCATCAACTATGTTATTCCCAGATGTCCAACTAGTGAAAAGACTTTTTAATTGTAACCTGATGCAATCTTCACAGAATCTATCAGAGTGTCTTGTTGATTCACACTCGTAACATTTTTTTGATTCTCCCCTTTTATACATTGCGTTTTTTAATTCAAGCTCATAAATAAACATTTCTTTGCAATATTCTTTTTCATTTTCGAAAAGCTCCTTGTTTTCATTAATTGATGAAAAAAAAACCTCTCTTCTACTTTCTTCATCAGAATTAACCAGAGCTTTATTATACATTCCATTACGAGTTTTATATACAAACTTCCTTCTTTCTGGCGATGCTAAAGATAATAATTGAAAATATGACATTAATGTTTTTATAAATTTTCAAATTTGGCTTGATTAATTTATTGTGTTTTAATGAAAGAATGGAGAACGTTATTATTATTATTATTTCCTTTTGCAGAGAATTTTATTATTTGACCGGAAATGATATATAGTTAAATCAAAATTAACCCGAAGATCTTAAAAAATTAAAAAACTTGATTTTTGTAAATAAATAAAGATTTTTTCCTCATTAAATCATATGGCTTGTTGGAGAATTGTGCGTTATCCTGATTGAATGGCACGTAACAAACAATTATCTACTACCAGTATACTCTTTCTGATGATAATATTTCAAAAATTCTAACTTAATAACGAGCAGTTAAATAGTTTATTTGATCGTCTTTAAATTTTTCTCTTAGAATTAATTGATAAATAAAAATTGCATTATACTACTCCAAAATCAAAAAAAAAAAATCATCTTCACCAAACTCTAGTGATTGATTCATCATGATTCAACAATAAAGGTTTTTAGCACTCTTTCTTTTTCTTTGTTTCTATTTTAAACTTCAAAACTAAAACCTATACTAAACCTAAACATGTCTAATGCACTATGTAAAAGTTGTTCCACGTATCGGCCTATGTGTATTCTAAACTCGGACATTGAAGACAGCTCAAATGCAGTTTTATTTTATTGTGTATTTATTACGCATAGCTAGCTTCAAAGTCAAAAATCAAAAAAAAACCATCAATTTAAAACAACTCTACAATATTGATATGTCTACATGTGCTTCAAGCTCAGACATTAAAGACAAAGTCACTAATTAATTTTTTTGTCGGATAAAAGAAACATTGATTGTCGAAAAATTACTGGGAAACTAAAATATTGCATTTTTCCCGGTTTGGTCTGAAAGAGGCTCAAGAGAAGATGAACAAGCATTTGACTTAGTGGAAGGATCTTGCATTAAAAAAACGAATATATAACTGTTGCTTTGATATAAAAGGTACCAAATTAATATTGAAACTTCCTGTAATTCGTTAATTTGACTAAAATTCCTATTTTAAGAATGGGAAACGATTCAACCAAACCGGTTTAACCACCAGTTTAAAACCGAACTGATGCACACTCGAAACCAGGGTTTCTTGTATAGTGGTTTGATGAATTTGTCACGCTAAAAAGTTTAATGGTTTATTTTCTTACGTTTCTTCGCTTCTTACCTTTTTCATTGTCATAAAGTTAAGTGAAGAAATTGTAAAATATGTTGCACTTGTACTTTTACGTCATCATCAATTATTAAAATTCCCAGCAACGGTAACAATAATAATCGATTTCATTACACCTGTTCTCATTCAACTTCCCAAAATTGACTTCAATGTGAACACAGGACAAGGCTGTTTGGTGAAAATGATGGGATGATCCATTATAAAATATAAATGATGATGAAGTGATGGTTAGAGTGAGAGTGTTTTGCTTGAGAGAGATCACACGCTCGCAATATTTATTACTGTTTTACGATTTATGGCTTTAACGACTTTAGGGCGGTCATGTCGAATTTATTACGTAATGCTGAATTGTTGTAATTCAGGCAGTAGTAAACTTTATAGAAATAAATATATTTTGTGAAGATAAGTAGAATCAGAAAGTACAAGTCCCACAAAAAAGGCATGTAAGTACAATTGTCATTACAACAAATAATTAAAAATGGTTTGTACTATACCCACTGTACAAAGTGTACTGTACTCACTCAATCTAACACAACCATAAATATTTGTGGCTAAAAAAAATGTTCTCAAGAAAAAAATTCTTTTTGACAAATATAATAAAAAACCACAATGGAAAACACTTTGTATGAATATAAACATCATGACAATATTTCTATTGACAAAGTTGATGAATATTCTGATAAAAGCAATGAAGAATACGGGAAATGTTCAACCTGCAATAAATATAATACTGGTTATTCATGGTGTCAATCATGTGATCCAAAGCTGTTGACTGAAGGATGGACTAGTGACAATAAAACGTTAGATGAGTTGATTAAAAGCATACAATTTAAAGCAACTAGTTATGATTATTATTATTATCTTCAGTGGATTCCTTATAATGATTTAACAAGTGTTGAAAAGATGGGTGAAGGTGGGTTAGCAACTATATACAAAGCTACTTGGTTAAATGGAGAGAAAAGTATAGATTATCAAAATAACAAAAGAACTAGCAAGGATGTTCTAGTGGCATTAAAGAAATTACATATTTCACAGAATATTTCTGATGAATTTCTTAATGAGGTAAATTATTTTATTTTTTTATTTATTTTTAATTTTTAAAATATTATCCCGAAATTCAATATATTTTTTTTAGTTCAAAAATTATGTTACATTTTATCATAAATCATTTATAAATCATATTCATGGATTAACACAAGATCCAGCTATAAATGAATATATCTTTGTAATGAATTACATGAAAGATAAAAATCTTCAAGATTATGAAGATCAATTTTCAAAGAAAAGGGATGAAAAATATGGGGAGTGTCCAACTTGTAATAAATATAATACTAATTATTCATGGTGTCAATCATGTGATCCAAAGCTATTAACTGAAGGATGGACTAGCGGCAATGAAACATTAGATGAGTTGATTAAAAGTACACAACTTAAATCAACCAAGTATCATTATAGTAATCATCTTCAATGGATTCCTTATAATGATTTAACAAATATTGAAAAGATGGGTGAGGGTGGGTTTGCAACTATATCCAAAGCTACTTGGTTAAATGGTTATAAAAGTATAGATTATCAAAATAAAAAAAGAACTAGCAAGGATATGCTGGTGGCATTAAAAAAACTACATAATTCACAGAATATTTCTGATGAATTTCTTAATGAGGTAAATTATTTTTTTTTTTTATTTATTTTCAGATTTTTTAAATATTATTAAATATTTTATTTGTTATTTTAGCTCAAAAATTATACAAAATCTCATGATAAGGCTTATAGTTATGGATTAACACAAGATCCAACTACAAAAGAATATATTTCTGTAATGCATTACATGGAAGATGGAAGTCTTCAAAATTATGATGATCGATATTCAAAGGAAAGAAATGAAAAATATGGGGAATGTCTAACCTGCAATAGATATAATACTAATAATTTATGGTGTCAATCATGTGATCCAAAGTTATTGACTGAAGGATGGACTAGTGGCAATGAAAAATTAGATGAGTTGATTAAAAGTACACAACTTAAAGCAACAAGATATAATAATTATGATTATTTTCAATGGATTACTTATAATGCTTTAACAAATATTGAAAAGATAGATGAGGGTGGTTTTGCAACTATTTCCAAAGCTACTTGGTTAAATGGAGAGAAAAGTATAGATTATCAAAATAAAAAAAGAACTAGCAAGGATATGCTAGTGGCATTAAAAAAACTACATAATTCACAGAATATTTCTGATGAATTTCTTAATGAGGTAAATTATTTTTTTTTTTTATTTATTTTCAGATTTTTTAAATATTATTGATTATTACAATTGTAATTAAATATTTTATTTGTTATTTTAGTTCAAAAATTATGCAAATTTTCATGACAGAGGATTAATAATTCATATTTATGGATTAACACAAGATCCAATTACAAAAGAATATATATTTGTAATGGCATATATGAAAGATGGAAGTCTTCAAAATTATTTAACTAAAAAATTTCAAATTTTAAAATGGGAAAACAAACTTGGAATTCTTTATGATATTATTAATGGTTTAAAAGATATTCATGGAAAAGAAATTATTCACCATGATCTTCATAGTGGTAACATTCTTCAAAAAGAAAAAAATGCAATTATTGCAGACTTAGGACTATCATGCTCAGCTAGTAAAATACCATCATCAAACAAAAATAATATATGTGGAGTACTACCATATATTGCACCAGAAGTTTTAAAAGAGAAACCATATACAAAAGCATCAGATGTATATAGTTTTGGAGTTCTGATGTCTGTAGTATCAACTGGCAAACAACCATTTAATAATTTGGCACATGATAAATATCTTGTAATGAAAATATGTGAAGGTGCAAGACCTAGTTTCTCAAACAATACACCAAAATTCTATATTGAACTAGCATTCAAATGCATGGATGCTAATCCAGATAAACGTCCAACTGCTGAAGAAATTTTCAAGGTTATTAAAATTTGGTATTATAAAGATGAATTTAGAAAAGAGTTTGATAAAATAAAATTTGATCCTTCAACAATTGCCACAGTAATTCATCCAAATGCAGTTTATACTAGCAGATTATTAAAATTTACAAATCTCCCCCAACCTGTGAATTCCAATAAAGCAACAATTATTGGCAATAATAATGGTAATTATTAACATTCAATTATTAATTTTAAAGTTTAGTAACAATATTAACATTATTATGTAATAAATTATCATATTTATAGTTTCTCATTTAATGGACTTAAATATTTAGATTAATTTGATTATTTATATTTAATAACGAATGATAAAGGTAATGACTTCTTTATCTTTGGATTTTTTTTTTTCATTTGGAATTTTGGATGTCAAATATCTACACTAAAATAAGGATTTGACAAAAAAACAAATGTATTATCTATTTTTTACCTTTTCAAATCAAATATTTTCATCTCTTATAGCATTAACAAGTTGAAGTGATGTACTTATCAATATATCATATAATATATATAATATAAATTTTTAAAATTTAATGCATGAATCTGAATAATTTAAATATAATAAAATTATACCTATATTATCAAATAAAAAACCCGTATCTAATCATTTCAACTTGTTAAACCACTATTGCAGTCAACCTCCAGAAGAGGCTCCCTGTCCTCAAGATTTGGTTGTCCCAAATGATTCTTTCCTCCAGATATACATAACAAAAACACAAACTATGGTAGACTGATTACAAGTTTGTTGTTTTTTATTCAAATTGTTTATTCGTTTTATTTGAATTATCGAATTATTCGGATAAACTTTCAATGTAATTCGACACTCAAATTCATAATAATAACATGTAAAACAATAATTCGAATAAGCCTTATTCGAATAGAAACCCTAATCAAGCAGTTTAGTTTGAATATTATTGGCTGTATGCCAGATTTGGCGACTGACTATGTAATAAATAACTCAGATTGCACGTTCACAATATTTATAGGCTGTAAATAATTACAGCATTACGGTTTTACGGTTTATGATTTTAACGACTTTAGGGTGTCATGTTGACCTGGTTTTAGTGGATTCTTTTTATAAAATGAGTAAGATCCCGATACAAGATCTTTTATCGCATACACTAATTAATGTGTATAATATGACTCTTAGATGTCGGAACCGGTTAAATAGGTTAATTCGCAATTGTGAGAAAATTAATTAATAGCAGGAATCGGTTTTTAATTATAGAAATTTAAAACGACAAAACGCCCCACTTTAATTGTAAATCTTTGTTTTCGTAGTAGTAGATGAGATGAAGCCACATTCACATTATCGGCTAAATGCAAGAGAATGGAGAGTAAAAGTGAGATACAACTAAATAGATTTGCTATCAACATAATTATCATATATTTGCCTTGGTGTCATTAACTCTATTATTATTATAGTTCAATGAAAGATTCATAATGAACAGATTTAAAGAAATTTTATTAAATCATACATTTTTTTTGTGAAATTTTATTTTTGACAAAAAAAAAATTTTTTATAATTATAATTAATTATACTTAACCGGTTTTTTAACCAGTTAGGGATTTTTTGACAGTATAAACGCCAAGATATTCATAACACATGATCTATAAACTCCTTCACGACAAAGATTATCTAAATATCAATGTGGAAGTGCATATGACCACAAATATTAATGTCCAATTTATAATCAATTACAACTGGTTTCTCTGCTGGACTTTTCGGGTTCTTGATGAGAATTGGAATTGGAATTGGAAGAAAAAACTTATTTTTATTTAAAAACAAACCAATTTAAAGTTTGATAAATTGAATGGTTTTATATAATGCTTCTTTTTTACCAATTGGCTCTTGAGTGATGGAATATGCTGTTGCCTAGAAACAAAAAATGTAAAATGTGTTGGAAAAAATACAAATAAAAAAAATCATATCAATGAAGCCTCGAACTAGTCTTCAAAAATTTAATTGTGCAACTATGCATCCAACGAATTCATTGTTTAAACATTATAACTTAGATCTTTATTACAATCTTTTCCAAGAAAAAATAATTGCCCAAAAATTTTGGTTAAAAGAAAATTTTATATTCCCCTGATGGGTTAATTTATAGCATTCATTTTTTTAAAATTATTTTTAATTTAAATTTCATTTTTAAAATTATTTTTAATTTAAATTTCATTGAATGTGGAAATTTAATAACA